GCCCCAGGCAAATGCCTTGTTTGCTTTGTGGTAAATACACCCCTGCTTATCACAAGGAAAGAGGATACTACATTGCCTGTACAAAGTTTATATCTTTGCATGGCATAGAACTGGCATGGAATTTTTTTTTCCAATGCAATCTCTTGCATTCTGTTATGTGTGTGTCTCTATAAGAAGCATTAATAATTCCCTATATGTTCTGATTTAGCCAACAGTACAGTGCCTCTGCTGCTCTAAAATCCCACAAGTGTCGTCATCCCTGCCTGCTGGACTATAGAGGTCCACGTATCCCCCACCCCTCTCTGTACCTCTCCACTTGCATACAGTAAAGTAGAACTACAGGCAGTTTATTTTTTGCCATCTGTGTCCCATTGGGGAGATTTACCCTCACTTCCTGTCCCATTGCCAAAATAGGAAGTAAGAAAATGTTGGCAAATTAAGGGAATTCCCTGGGGACCCCCAGTTCACCAGAACTAGTGTCCCCAATGGAAAATTTCCCCTCTATCACTTTTCTGGGGACAACCCAAAATTTGGGGTTTCTCTTACTTTCACTTTTGATGATAACAGTAAACAGGACAAATAAAAAGGGTGACTCCCTAACGGAGACACAGACAACAGTAAAAACCAGATAAGTGTCCAATCCTTCTTCACTCCATCCAAACCTAAATAAAGTTTTGCCTTTAGTCATACTTTGAATTTGATCTTGTAGTTTATTGTCCCTTTAAATAGTTTGTTTCGGCCAAGCTGACCCAAACAAACTGTTACGGCAGTTGGACAGGAACTTCCCAAAGGATTGGGCTAAGCACCACTCAGCCATTCACAGGAAGCTTTGTAATCTATGAATGAAGCAGAGCGTGTGACATCATTCGCCCACCTAAGCCAATCAGAGGAAGCTTTGTATACATTCACAGAATACAAAGCTTCCCGTGAATGACTATCACCATCTCATAGCCGGAACAGAATGCTGTAAACTGTATGTAGCTGAGGCGACATACAACTAATTCGGCGTGCACACCTCTTAGTGCAGTAAATAGTATGTTTGGGTCAGCTTATCCCAAACAAAATATTTAAAGTGATATTAAATGTGGACATCAGATTTAATTTCTCTGCCAGAAAAATGCTGCTGCCTTTACTCCCAACTACCTGCCCACACATTACATGCAAAAGGCTCTTGGAAGATGTTGCTCTGGGTGCGAGCCTACAGCAATAGGAAATGAACTCCAAGCAGCTGCCCCTGCAAGCATTTTATAGACCTGTGACAATGTCACAGAAAATAATGAAAGCCGTTTCAAGAACATAGTGAAACAGAAAAAGAATACTAGGATAAGATCTAGAGGGAGAGAGGGAGGTCTGGGGGTACACCTAGTTAAATGATGGATTTATACGTTAAGGGGCAAATTTCTAAAGCAGTGAATGACATTCACCAAACATTCACTACAGGTGAATCTCCAAGGCGCATGTGTTTTAGATGACAGTAAATAATTCACCATCAGCGAATACTTGGTGAAAATCAGATGTATAATATGCCAGAATAGTGGAAAAACTTGAAAACTATAGATGTGTGCATAAATCAGATAATGCAGCTACATCAGGCTGGTTAGAAATAGGAGATTTTACATCTTTTGAGACTACAGTTGGAAAGAAGAAAACTGTTGATAAAAAAACAATTCTGGGAAATTAGTAAACACATTATATGTAATGCACTGCAGCAAGAATGCATAGAGAACCCCACGTGGTCAGTGGAATGATATGTCCTCAAACATCATCTGAGGGTAGGTTCACATCTGTGCAGGTGGTGCCGCTGCGGATCCACACGAAAATCCATGCAGCCACACCACCAGCACAGAGAAATGCGGACCCGCGGCCCGCACTGGAAAACACAACTGTACTGGGAACCGAGGGACTTCCCTGCATGTCATGGGACACGGGAGTCCGTTCAAATGAAGGGGCTCTCGTGCCCGCGCAAAACGCAGCCGCATATATGTGAACTGGTATTAACTTACATTAGACTTGCTGTATGTGAGGAACAGCAAGGGACCTGTGGGCATGTATGGGAATCCCTCTACTGCATCACAAACAGGAGTTCTCAGATCACCACGGGAGTCCATTTAAATGAATAGGCTCTTGTGCCTGTGCAAAGCATGGCCCGCACGGCCGCATACAGTGGGGCAAAAAAGTATTTAGTCAGCCACCAATTGTGCAAGTTCTCCCACTTAAAAAGATGAGAGAGGCCTGTAATTGGCATCATAGGTAGACCTCAACTATGAGAGACAAAATGAGAAAAAAAATCCAGACAATCACATTGGCTGATTTGGAAAGAAATTATTTGCAAATTATGGTGGAAAATAAGTATTTGGTCACCTACAAACAAGCAAGATTTCTGGCTCTCACAGACCTGTACCTTCTTCTCTAAGAGGCTCCTCTGTCCTGCACTCATTACCTGTATCAATGGCACCTGTTTGAACTTGTTATCAGTAGAAAAGACACCTATCCACAACCTCAAACAGTCACACTCCAAACTCCACTATGGTGAAGACCAAAGAGCTGTCGAAGGACACCAGAAACAAAATTGTAGACCTGCAGCAGGCTGGGAAGACTGAATCTGCAATAGGCAAGCAGCTTGGTGTGAACAAATCAACTGTGGGAGCAATAATTAGAAAATGGAAGACCTACAAGACCACTGATAATCTCCCTCGATCTGCGGCTCCACGCAAGATCTCGCCCCGTGGGGTCAAATTGATCACAAGAACGGTGAGCAAAATTCCCAGGACCACACGGGGGGACCTAGTGAATGACCTGCAGAGAGCTGGGACCAACATAACAAAGGCTACCATCAGTAACACACTACGCCACCAGGGACTCAGATCCTGCAGTGTCAGCCGTGTCCCCCTGCTTAAGCCAGTACATGTCCGGGGCCCGTCTGAAGTTTGCTAGAGAGCATTTGGATGATCCAGAAGAGGATTGGGAGAATGTCATATGGTCAGATGAAACCAAAATAGAACGGTTTGGTAGAAACACAACTCGTCGTGTTTGGAGGAGAGAGAATGCTGAGTTGCATCCAAAGAACACCATACCTACTGTGAAGCATGGGGGGGTGGCAACATCATGCTTTGGGGCTGTTTGTCCGCAAAGGGACCAGGACGACTGATCCATGTACAGGACAGAATGAATGGGGCCATGTATTGTGAGATTTTGAGTGTAAACCTCCTTCCATCAGCAAGGGCAGTGAAGATGAAACATGGCTGGGTCTTCCAACATGACAATGATCCCAAACATACCGCCCGGGCAATGAAGGAGTGGCTTCGTAAGAAGCATTTCAAGGTCCTGGAGTGGCCTAGCCAGTCTCCAGATCTCAACCCCATAGAAAACCTTTGGAAGGAGTTGAAAGTCCATATTGCCCAGCGATAGCCCCAAAACATCACTGCTCTAGAGGAGATCTGCATGAAGGAATGGGCCAACATACCAGCAACAGTGTGTGCCAACCTTGTGAAGACTTACAGGAAACATCTGACCTCTGTCATTGCCAACAAAGGATATATAACAAAGTATTGAGATGAACTTTTGATATTGACCAAATACTTATTTTCCACCATAATTTGCAAATAAATTCTTTCCAAATCAGCCAATGTGATTGTCTGGATTTTTTTTCTCATTTTGTCTCTCATAGTTGAGGTCTACCTATGATGCCAATTACAGGCCTCTCTCATCTTTTTAAGTGGGAGAACTTGCACAATTGGTGGCTGACTAAATACTAAATATTGTTTTGCCCCACTGTATATGTGAACGGGGGGGGGTTACTGCACTGAAATAAAAGGGGCAGACCAGAGACACTCAGGTTGGGGAGGAAAGAGCTAGATGATGCTGGATGTCCTCCAGATAGAAATAAAGCGGTTTCTGTCTAACTTGCTGCAGCTTCTAATACGCGCTGTGAAAATCTCACAGTGTAAAGTGAAATCAAAGTCAACAATTTCAGTACAGGAGGAGTCTGTACAACTCTGCAAGACTGAAGGCTGGAGATCAGATTTAATAAAATGTGCTTATGAACAGCAAGGTGCTGATTACTGGCTTCTTGTGTGCCTGGAGACCTTATTGCTATGATTTTATATCCTTCTACTATTAATAATTGCATATACAGTTTCTATGACAACAATGAATAGCGTATGTCTAAATAACACATAAAACAAAAGTCAGAAATACTTCCATACTGAGCTAAACGTTATTCAGAGGAAGAAAGAAGCTGGGAGAATAAAACTCTTTGCAGGTGTTACAGATTAGTAATCAGTAATTACAGGAAATCTGCAGTAATCAACAGGCAATAAATATATTAAAAAACGAAATGAAGTATGAAGAAGTCAGAGGAAATGGTTCATCGTCTGCATGTCATATCATCTTAATGAATCTTACGGAGATCAAATTCCAAGAGAAACCACAGGGGGGGTATTTGCTGTGTGCCGGTTCTCAATACCAACACATACATAAAAACATTTCACATTTTATGGTCTCACACAGGTCAGGGTTTTGTGACATTTATAAATTCATTACAACATCATTATTGAAGAATTCACAGAGAATATTGCATACACAGGTTATGACCCAACACATTTCTTGGAACAATGTCCACTTTATTAGGGATACCCATTTGGTTTAAGTGATAGAAGTAATCTCATATCGTGGATCATACTAGATGAATCTGAAGCACATATCCTCAACTCAACAATTACCTTTCAACCACTTCACCTCTCCCACCTGTTCACCACCAATGAACCAGAGGAATTTTTACATTTCTGCTATGGGCCTGTTTATTCAGCGATAACTTTGTCATTACTTAACCGCCGCCCGCCATATAGTAATATGACGGACGCAAGGTGGTTCTCGTTCTGGGAGGACGTCATATGATGTCCTCCCATTCTCACCACGCATGCGCGGCTCCGGGAGCGCACAGCGCGGCGTTCGGCGGTGCGCTATGTCCCTCGGACACAGCGGATCACCGATCTACAGAAAGAGCCGAAGATGTTGGCTCGGTCATGTGATCAGCTGTGTCCAATCACAGCTGATCACATGTAAACAGAGAAATGCCGGTTTTCAGCATTTCTCTCCTCACGAGCTGTCACGCTGACAGCTAGTGAGGAGAGGAGAGCCGGTAATCGGCATTCCTCAGAGGGGACATCTACACAGATCATCAGAGCACTGATGATCAGCGTGCCCTGATGATCTGTGTAGCCCCAGCAACGCCACCTGTCAGTGTCCATCAGTGCCAGCTCTGTGCTCATCCATGCCACCTGCCAGTGCCCATCAGTGCCACATTTCAGTGCCCATCAGTGCCAGTCAGAGCTGCCTTTCAGTGTCACCCATCAGTGCCAGTCAGTGCCACCTATCAGTGTGCATCAGTGCCGCCTATCAGTGCCCACCAGTGCCAGTCAGTGCCACCTATCAGTGCCACCTATCAGTGCCATATATGAGTGCTGCCTTTCAGTGCCCATCAGTGATGCCCGTCAATGCCCATCAGTGCCACCCACCAGTGCCTCCTCATCAGTGCCCATCAGAGCCACCTATCAGTGTCCATCAGTGCAGCCAATCAGTGCCCATCACTGAAGCTTCATTAGCGCACATCAGTGAAGGAGAAAAATCACTTATTTACAAAATTTTATAACAAAAACTACGAAAAAAAACATTTTTTTTTTTTTTTTTTTTAATTTTCAGTGGTTTTTGGTTTGTTTAAGAAAAAATAAAAAACCCCAGAGGTGATTAAATACCACCAAAATAAAGCTCTGTCACAAAAAAAATGATAAAAATTTCATATGGATACAGTGTTGCATGACCGCGCAATTGTCAAAGTGCAACAGCGCTGAAAGCTGGAAATTGGCCTGGGCACGAAGGGGGTATAAGTGCCCTGTAGGCTAGTGGTTAAAGCAGAACTCCAGGCAAAACATCTTTACATGTCCTTGTTGCTGATTTCCTACCTTCACTTACTATGTCCTCCATCTTCTGGTTCACTCAGTAGTTGCTCTGAAATATCCTATTCATTTTCAAATCAAACCGTTATTTCTCTTTGCTTTCCTGTTTGTAAGACCGGTGGTTGTTATGTCTCCTATTCCCCCAGCCACTGGTCTTGGCACATCCCTTCTGTAGTTCTTTCTCCAGGAAGCAGTGATGTGAATCAGCCCCACTTGCAGTGGTGGGCGGACAGGGACTCTCAGACTCATTCAACATGTACAGGCCTAGTGTAACCACCCACATGCATTCCACTTCCCTGTGGTTGATGGGAATTGTAGTTTCCTTTTACTGCAAAGAAGATAGGATATGATGTAATCCCGACTATTATACCTCCTCCTTGGCAGAGCAGATGCAGTTATCTTTTGAACTACAGAGATGAGGTCATGAAAATTCATTTGCACTTTTCTTCTAAATGATAACAATTTTCAAAATTGTATTAAAGCGATACTAAAGGTTAATTTTTTTTTTTTGTAAAACAACAAACACGTCTATACTTACTTGCTCTGTGTAGTGGTTTTGCACACAGCAGCCTCGTTCCTCCTCTTCTTGGATCCCCAGCAGGCTCTCCTGGCTCCTCCTTTCTTATGGGTGCCCCCATAGCAAGTAGCTTGCTATGGGGGCACCCACTGCTCCGTGTTTTCATTCCCACATGGAGCCGTGGCTTGGCCCTGCTCCCCCCCCCCCCCTCCTCCTCATTGGCCTCACTGGATGTGATTGACTGTCTCAGCCAATGAGGAGGCAAGAGACCCAGGACAGCCGAGGCTGTCGTGTACATCACTGGATCTCAATGGGGCTCAGGTAAGTATTGAGGGGGCTGGGGGCACTGCTGCAAACAGAATGTTTTTTACCTTCATGCATAGAATGCATGAAGATAAAAAACCTTGAGCTTTTACAACTGCTTCAACTGTTATTTTGTGTAGGTGGGTGTACTAATGTGTGATTTTTTTGCCTATCCCAGGGTTCTTCTTTAAGATAAATACATATATTGTTTTTTTTTTAATGACAAACAAGGCTTTTTTTTTGGGAATAATGTCTTGCAACAATGATTTTTCTTTTTTTCACAATCCTTAAAAAAAATTAAATGTAACAAAAAAAACTTAACAATATCCACTTGAGCAGTATTAATTTAAAAATAAATAGTGTTACTGCACCTAAAAAGTACACATTTTATTCTCTAATTTGTCCTATTTAAAATGACACTAAAATTATGATTCTGGTACAAAATTCAATACAAATGAATAAAGTGTGTTTTTTTATTAAATGTTGCGCTTTTTTTAAATGTGAAATGTGTAACTATATGTTAAAGGTGTAATAATATTATTGAACAAAACAAAAGCAAAAAAAAGTTTAAAAATTATTCATAAATAAAATAGAAATGAAAAAAAAAAAAAAAACTAGCAGGAAAATAATAATTGAATGGACAAGGAGAAAAAGGAGATAATTAGGGCTGAGTAGAGTAAACTAAAGGTTCATAAGGTGTTAAACAGAGGAACATTTAACGGCATAAAAAAAAAAAAAAAAGAAAACACCTATGCAGTTTGCATTTCATCCATTTCTGTAGTGCGTGTTGCATTTTTGATGCGTTTTTATGCGGCTTTTTTTTTTGGAAAACTTATTGCTGGGCAGATTAAAACGCTAAACTCATCAAAAACGTGTCAAAAATGCAGTGAAATGAAGTCTATTGAACCAAAACGCACCGTTTTGCATTTATAAAAGTCTTTGACCCTTTCCAAAAATCACATCGCTTGAAACATCGTGGTGATGTGAACTTCACCACCCATAGGAACTCATATTAAATGGACTGTAGTGCGTTTCTGCATAATGCAAAATCCTTAGGTGTGAACCTAGCCGTATACCAGTTGAGCAAGGATGTTGATAAAAAAAAAAAAGCAATCTGCGAGTGTTTGACAGCTCCAGCTGTCAGAACGTTCTTTGTGTACACTATATTGCCAAAAGTATTGGGCCACCTGCTTTTGTAGTCCGTAGGGTTCAGTATTGAGTTGGCCCCGCCCTTTGCAGCTATAACATCTTCACCTCTTCTGGGAAGGCCGTCCACAAGGTTTAGGAGGGTGTCTATGGGAAGGTTGGACCATTCTTCCAGAAGCACATTTGTCAGGTCAGGCACTGGTGTCGGGGGGGAGGAGGCCTGGCTCACAGTCTCCGCTCTAATTCATCCCAAAGGTGTTCTATCGGGTTGAGGTCAGGACTCTGTGCAGGACAGTCATGTTCCTCCACCCCAAACTGGCTCCTCCATGTCTTTATGGACCTTGCTTTGTGCACTGGTGTGCAGTCATGTTGGAACAGGAAAACGCCATCCCCAAACTCTTCCCACAAAGTTGGGAGCATGAAATTGTCAAAATTTCATGCTCCCAACTTGGTATGCTGACGCACTAAGAGTTCCCTTCACTGGAACAAGGGGGCCAAGCCCAACCCCTGAAAAACAACTCCACACCATAACCCCCCCTCCACCAAACTTTACACTTGGCACAATGTAGGCAGGCAAGTACCGTTCTCCTGGAAACCGCCAAACCCAGACATGTCCATCGGATTGCCAGACAGAGAAGCGTGATTGGTCACTCCAGAGAACACGTCTCCACTGCTCTAGAGTCCAGTGGCGGCATTCTTTACACCACGGCATCCAACACTTTGCATTGCACTTGGTGATGTAAGGCTTGGATGCAGCTGCTTGGCCATGGAAACCCATTGCATGAAGTTCTCTACACACTGTTGTGCTAATCTGAAGGCCACATGAAGTTTGGAGGTCTTTAGCTATTGACTCTGCAGACAGTTGGCGACTTCTGCGCACTGTGCGCTTCAGCATGCGCTGACCCCGCTCTGTCATTTTACGAGTTGCTGTTGTTCCCAGTTGCTTCCACTTTGTTATAATCCCACTAACAGTTGAGCGTGGAATATTTAGTAGCCAGGAAATGTCACGGATGGACTTATTGCACAGGTGACAACCTATCACGGGACCACGCTTGGAGTCACTGAGCTCCTGAGAGCGACCCATTCTTTCACAAATGTTTGTAGAAGCAGTCTGCATGCCTAGGGGCTTGATTGTATACACCTGTGTCCATGGAGGTGATTGGAACACCTGAATCCAATGATTTGGAGGGAAGTCCTAATACTTCTGGCAATATAGTGTATTTGGCAAAGCCAATTTGATCAATGAGAGCTAAATTGTGGGGTACTGGGACAGGGGAGGTCCTGGCAGCAGGACATGTTACATAAGCCCTGTGTATGATGATGGCATTTTTTGGGGCATAGATAACACACCCACCCATGACTCTACAACTGGTTAAAAGGCATCAGGACTGAGAAACTGATCCAGCATATAGAGGTATAGAAGAAACGAGAAAAATCTGTGTCCATTGTCCTGTTTATGGTCTGTATTTAGCTCTGTACACATGTAAACATATGTGCTAATGTTTACATGTGTACTTTTATCATAAATGTATGCTATTGGCCTTGAATGGTTGCCTGTATCCTAGGATGCAACTTGCACCTGCTACCTGTGTCCTAGGAACATAGGATGCTAGGTGTCAGCAGCCACCTCTGTCCTAAAAAGATTCAGGAGCCATCTGTAACATAGGACAAGAGGCGTCAGGCGCCACCATGCATAGCTGCACCAGATTCTGAGTGCTCCAGTTTTAGTAAATCTACCCCCATGTGTACATGTGTTGTATCAGACGGCTAAGCTGCCTGCTGTGAGCTTCCATAAAGTTACAATGTGCAGTCCAAGTTAGTTATCAGAATGTGAGGGTTTCTTTCTTTCTGCTTGTAGCTAACAGTTTTTTTGGCTCAGCTGTACTTATGAAAAAGTTATTATTTTAAAAATCATATGGTTATACTGTTTCAGTACATTTAGACATGACTGGAATTTATTCTGAGATACTATTGGCAAAGGTACTGAGCTAAAGAACTGAGCTAAAGACCTGGGGACCTTTAACGTCAAATTGGAGAATCACAAGACCACATGTTATGATTTGGGGAGGATTTCTGCAGGGGAATTTACATGTTTTTTTTCTCTCTCTGGGATAATGCTGCTTTCCACCTTCCCCATACAGTGCTCTGTGCTGGCAGAGCTGAGTAATGCAGGACATAGACGGTTCGTTTATCGGCTGAATTTTCATCCGAAATAATCGGCCGATTTTCGCAACGTTAGTGGGGCAATGTCATCGGCCGATTTTCGCAGTTCCTCATTTCTTTTATCGGTCATGCTGGAAAATTCGCGAAAAATGGCCGATTTTGGCCATCATTGGTGGCAACAGAACGGCCGAAAAAAAACGAACAGTTTATGGCCTGCATAACAGCCACAATCTTCATCACGTGTCCTTTCACATACCTATATTAAGTAAAGAGGAGGAGCCTGCCTGACCGGGTCTGTTACTAACTTCTGATTATAGAGTACACAAGGTCATAACAGAAGAAAACCTATTGGTCTCTTCTGTCATCAATGCCTCTCGCAGCCTGTCATGTGGTCTGAGCTGTGAAAGAGCAGCTCAGATTACATTACTGCTGACAGGCGGGGAGAGGAATTTATGGCAGAAGAGACCAATTGCACCTCTTCTGTGCTGCACATTCACAGCTCAGACCACATTTACATCACTCTACTTGTGCCACGATAAAGTAACTTTAGTGAACATGCACGGAGTGACGTTATCAGGTCCTGGCCATTCAGGCAGTCAAAGAGTAAGATATTTCAGTACAGAACAGGCGCCTATATAACTGTGCAAAACTGAAGATAAAGCCAGAAATCAGCTTTAAACACTTCAAGTCCAGACACTTTCCCCCCCTTCCTGTCCAGGCCAATTTTCAGCGCTATCACACTTTGAATGACAATTGCGCGGTCATGCAACACTGTACCCATATGAATTTTTTAGCATTTTTTTGAGACAGATAGAACTTTATTTTGGTGGTATTTATTCACCACTGGGATTTTTATTTTTTTTTTGCTATATAAATGAAAAAGTCCAAATATGTAGAAAAAAAAGTGTTTTTCTTATAACATTTTGCAAATAAATAATCTTTCTTCATAAATCTTGGCCACAATTTATTCAGCTATCTTTTTAGTAAAAAAAAAATAACCCAAATTAGTTTATAACCAAAAATTGTACATTTTTCAAAAGTTTTTTTTTTACATTTTTATTTTTTTATATTATGTTTTTTTTTGAACATACTGTCACCCTAGCAGTACAGTGTCACCATAGTGACACTGTACTACTTGTGGGGGGTGATGAAGTTTTTTTTTTTTTTTTTACACCGATTGTTTTTACACCCATAAAGGCTGTAAAAGCAATCATTTCTTCTTTCTAGCTGCATTCTTGCAGCCATTGAGAAATACTGTGAGAGCTGTGATTGGTCACAGCTTGTCACATGGTACAAGGCTGTTGTGAATAGCCTTGTACCATGTGACCTCTGTGATCATTCACAGATTTCACACGTAGTAAGCAATGATGTCAGAAGTGACATCTTGCTTACTACTACTGATGTGATCACTGATTGGCCACATGATCAGGACCTCACACGGATCGCAGTGCCGCGCGCTCTCAGGGAGCACGCACAGTCCAAAATGGCGTGTGCCGTTTATGAATGGCAACCCGCTCCTTCACTGCCCCCATCTGGCCGTTTATATACATGGGCAGGACGGGAAGTGGCTAAGGGCCAGTTCACACCATAGAAATGCAGTCCGATGCGTTCCAGATGTGTTTCTATATGCACATTTTTGACGTGTTCGGTACATTTTTGATGTGTTCCATCTCATTTGTTCCCCCTCTGTTTCTTCAACTTAAATAAGGACATGTGCGTTTTTGGTGAATTTTTTATTCATTTTACAGCATTCCAGTACAGTTCAGTGCAGAAAAAAATGCAGCATGTTCTACTTTTTTTCCTGTTAGTGGAACGCACTAGAACTGACTGTACTGGTGTAAACTATGCCATTGGAAACCATGTAACCTACTATCAATGCGTTTTTGATGCTGAAAAAAAAGGCACTGGACTGCATGTGGTGTGAACTGGCCCTAAATGTAAATGGTGTCCAGGAAGGTTCTTTAAAAAAAAAAAAAAAACAGGGTGATGCTACAGAATTAATACTTTGTCTTAGCAATCGTGCAAGTAGAACATGTTACAAAAGAGTCAGCTTAGCATACTTACATCCGTACGGATTGGTACTTTTGAAGGTTATTTCGACAGGAAAGTTCCACACAATCTCCTGCTTTATATGTCTATTTTTAGAAGCAATTTGAGATATTCCTTCTTCCACCCCCTGAAAAGAAAAGAAATATCAATCTGATTACAGCAAACAGTGGAAAAACTAGCCAGCTAATATAGAGGAGTCGAAGGACAGAGTATGAAAAAAGGTAGTTTGGTGACACCTAGTGGTACAAGTGCAAACAGCAGATTCCCTGTCTTGTATACAGTGGCTGTAATGAGCAACAGAAAAGGTGCGATTCGTACTCTAATGTAGATTAGATGTCAGAAACCTTAATTCCAAAAATTTCTCATGGACTTTTGAAGTGCCCCAAAGAAAGCCACGAAGATATACAAAATTTAAAATATCTGGGGAGGAAAGGTACCTTTCATTTTTTAATTTTTTTATATAAATAGGAAGAGGACCTGTTCATTTGTGTTTAAATCGGACCATGCACTCAAATGCAGGTATATTAAATAGCAGTCCACCCCCCCCTGCCAAAATATTGTGGAGAAAAGTTAAACATTCTACATACCTTATAGTTTTGCTGCAGTGTTTATGTGCCAACACATGCTGATAGGGGGAGAGAACAAAGTGACAGAGATAAATCCATCCTCGGTTCTCCTTTCACTACCCAATTATATAATGGGGGAGGGACAAGACCTGTAGGTGTTGCCCCAACTGCAGAAGAGAAAACTGGACAGGTCTGGACTGCGTGGCAGAGCGGTGTAAATCTGAGGACTGGATGAGCAGACATACAAATCATTTGGTGGGTGAAAGAACTCCCATTTATGTATTTCTTCTGTGGATTTAGCAGTCTGCCTGGAGTCCAGCTCTTAAAAGTACACAATGGTGGTTATGTGATCTGGCTTAATGACCAATTCAAATGTGTTTGTGGAGGAAAACAATGTGAAGGGTGTGCTGTGTGGCAATAAGGAGGAATCCACCTTATGCCTGATAAAATTCTTCCGGGATTATGTTTATTTTTTTATTTATTTATTTTAACATACTGTCACCCTAGCAGTACAGTGTCACCATGGTGACACTGTACTACTTGTGGGGGGTGATGAAGATTTTTTTTTTTTTTTACACTGATTGCTTTTACACCTTTAAAGGCTGTAAAAGCAATAATTTCTCCTTCTCTCTGGCTGCATTCTTGCCGCCATTGAGAACTATTGAGTGAGCTGTGATTGGTCACAGCTTGTCACATGGTACAAGGCTGTTGTGAATATCCTTGTACCATGTGACCTCTGTGATCATTCACAGATTTCACACCATAGTAAGCAATGATACCACAAGTGACCAGGATGGATAACAATCAATGATTTTTAAAAAGAAATTTAAAAAAATGGATTTTTTTTATTTAAATCAGATTTTTTTTATTTAAAATCGGATTTTTTTAAATAAGATGCTTTTTGAGGAAAATATATTACCATCCACAGGTTATTCCATCATGAAATAAAGATTAGTTTTTTAATTATGTAGAATGAGGCTGTATATGTTTAATTTTTTTGGTAAATAAATTCCATGAATCCATTCACAATGTCAGGCTCTTCCAGAGGTTTTTTGTAAGATTATTGGGCAGTTTCTCTGCCTACAAGATATTATCACAGATGATCGGTTTACTTTTGCAGTTCTCAAAACTGAATTTGACTCAGCGGAGATCACATGACTCTTCTTCACAGCAAAAATGTTATAACATGAACAGAGTTAAGAAAAAGACCTTCATCCTAACTTCTACAAACCTATGAATACAGAATTCAACCCCTTCAGTGCTAAGGTTCAAGAAGTTCAGTGAATAGAATAGAAACAATATTTTTCTGATTGTTTGGAGTGGAATAGATCTGCACAAGAAGAAAGTGAAGCTAAGTGTGAGGGGGAGGGGCTGACAGTCTAAGTTTCTTAAAAATATATATATTTTGTTTAGCCAAATTAGTTACCAAACATGGATGTTTAAGCAAATCACATCTGCTGGAATGTTATTGTTTCAGTTGAATAAATCTAATTTAAATTGTTATTATTAAGGTAATGATTATTTTTCTCCTTCCTAATTACAACAGAAAAGTTGTCCAAATATGAATGATTAACCTATTAAACTGGGGATAAAAAAACTAATATGAAAAGTTATCATTCTAAAAATCTTCATCTACTTGCATATTAAAGTTATACCAGCAAGAATTAGTCTTTATGTAGAAAACTAGGATTACATCAAGCCTTACTGACTAGTGATTTAAATCAAATCCACCCTGCAAGTGACATCTTGCTTACTACTCTGCATGTGATCATTGATTGGCCAATCAGTGATCAGATGATCGGGATCTCGCTCAGAGGTCCTGTACGACGATCGGTGTTCCACTGTATCCGGAAGACACAGCGGGCACTGGATCGCGGTGCTGCAAACTCTCAAGGAGCACACACAAGCAGGGGGCGGGGAGGCTGTTTATAAACGGTCACCTGACCCTGCACTGCCACCGTCCGGCCGTTTATATACAACGGCTGGATGGGAGGTGGTTAAGGAAATTAAAACAACCACCAGATATAAGAACTGATAAGCTGCAATATATAAATACTGTTACTTTTGGGTTTAGATAAGCTCTAGGTAATGGCCAGTAGCAGTAGGGGCCGCATAGCTCTGAATGTTTTTAGTTCTTCATGCAAATTACCCCTTAAATACGTGCCAGCATTCATGGAAAGGGATGTCATTTTTCAGATATTATACATGAATGGAGGAAAACAAAGACTTCACCCCTGCCTATGACAACGATGAAACAAAAAATAATAACTGGATAAATACAAAGAGCGTCTTTCCAGAAAACACATATTTACATAGACCTAAAGGAGCCAAATGTTCCCAGAAATTGTCATTAGCGCCCCCTTCACCGAGAAATAAAGCCATTTATGCAGTTAACTCCTGGAAAAGGTCTTGTCTGTATAATAGGATTTAGATAATAAAATGCATGTGAAATACACAATCAGGGACCTGACGGAGGTCTCCGAGGAAACTGCAAATGCTAATTACCATCTCTGGTCTGGCGGTTGCTTTCATGAATGTAATCCTTTTTTTGTGTGTAGTGAGGAAACGTTAAAGCTGAAGTTTAATCTACTTATATTTTACCGTACCTGGCTCTTCCCTTCCCTCTCATCAACATGCTAATGACATTTTTACATAAAACATTTCGGTTTTCAATATAATTTTTTAAAGCCGGTGACGTCATCACTCAGTCTCTGTGCTCCTCTATGCAATGCAGGCAGATCATGGCTGGTGGGAGGGGCCAGTGGGGTGCTGTACATACTTTCCTGAAAACATCACAGCACCCTACCTCAGTACTCCTCTCAAGAGATCTCAGCTCTTTTGCAAACAGTGGGCTGGTTCTTGGGAGGAGTTATTTAAATATCAAAATGCCTTGATGGGTGGGTGTCAGTCTGGAGGAGTGGGCATTCCTAGGCAGACTGCATTTATGCCCACATCTGGTGCTGATCCTTCATGATTAAAAGGACTGAAATCCAAGATGATGCTGGATGTCCTCCAGCCAGGAAATGAGGTGGAGCTCTAGCTGCAGTTTCTAGAGCACATTGTGAGAAGCTCACAGTGTGCAGTGAAATCAGAGTAAGCACTTTCAGTACAGGAGAGGAGCCGTACAACTATGCAAGATGAAAGGGAAGGCTGAAGTTCAAATATGAACTACAATAAACAGCAATTCTGGGGAACAAGCTGCTACTGCTACACTGCAACCATACTAAAAGAGACCCTGTCATCAACTTTAAAAAATTGCAGTAACAAAAAAAAATGGAGTATTTAAAATGCAGTGTGTTTGTTACTTGCAATATGCCTTTGGACTTGCTAGAAATGTTGGTTACTTCGGAAGAGTCAAGTCCCTAGCACATCCCCCTTCCTCCTTGCACGTCACAGCCTTCTCCTCTATGTATGGAAGCAGTGGCCTCTCTGCAGAGGTCCACCACTCCCTTTGCTGAGAGCTATAACCCTCCAATCAACAGGAAGCACGAGTCTTGCTGCTAGTTGTATTTTGATTATTTGCTGCTAATGGTGCTATAGGTCTGATTCAAAAGGGGGCATTTTGGACCTCTGTAACAAGACCACTGCTTCCACACCGAGACAAACAAGGGTCCCACTCGGCAGATGCTGGCAGGGGACGGGTTTTTTCTACTCAGGCAGTGGCTGCTTAGGAAGAAGGTAGAGATGACTAGATCCATTGTCAACATTTGATAGCTGTCTGTGTTGCTGTAGATTTTCTCTTTGGGGACACACCTCATCCCTTGGACCATTGGGGGAGATTTATTACAACTGGAACACTCAGAATCAGGTGCAACTGTGCATAGTAACCAATCAGCTTCTAACTTCAGCTAGTTCAATAAAGCTTTGACAATAAAACCTGGAAGCTGATTGGTTTCTATGCAGGACTGCACCAGATTTTGCACTCTCCAGATTTAGTAAATCCCCCCCCACTGTATATTACATGCGGCTGAGCCATACTTTATCAACATGGAGAGGTTTTCCACACTATGTATGACTTGGGGAACGTTCCATACACTGGAAACATACAGCCAGGTCCATAAATATTGGGACATCGACACAATTCTAACATTTTTGGCTCTATACACCACCACAATGGATTTGAAATGAAACGAACAAGATGTGCTTTAACTGCAGACTGTCAGCTTTAACTTGAGGGTATTTACATCTAAATCAGGTGAACGGTGTAGGAATTACAACAGTTTGCATATGTGCCTCCCACTTGTTAAGGGACCAAAAGTAATGGGACAATTTGCTTCTCAGCTGTTCCATGGCCAGGTGTGTGTTATTCCCTCTTTATCCCAATTACAATCAGCAGATAAAAGGTCCAGAGTTCATTTCAAGTGTGCTATTTGCATTTGGAATCTGTTGCTGTCAACTCTCAAGATGAGATCCAAAGAGCTGTCACTATCAGTGAAGCAAGCCATCATTAGGCTGAAAAAACAAAACAAACCCATCAGAGAGATAGCAAAAACATTAGGCGTGGCCAAAACAACTGTTTGGAACATTCTTCAAAAGAAGCAACGCACCGGTGAGCTCAGCAACACCAAAAGACCTGGAAGACCACGGAAAACAACTGTGGTGGATGACTGAAGAATTCTTTCCCTGGTGAAGAAAACACCCTTCACAACAGTTGGCCAGATCAAGAACACTCTCCAGGAGGTAGGTGTATGTGTGTCAAAGTCAACAATCGAGAGAAGACTTCACCAGAGTGAATGCAGAGGGTTCACCACAAGATGTAAACCATTGGTGAGCCTCAAAAACAGGAAGGCCAGATTAGAGTTTGCCAAACAACATCTAAAAAAGCCTTCACAGTTCTGGAACAACATCCTATGGACAGAGGAGACCGACATCAACTTGTACCAGAGTGATGGGAAGAGAAGAGTATGGAGAAGGAAAGGAACTGCTCATGATCCTAAGCATACCACCTCATCAGTGAAGCATGGTGGTGGTAGTGTCATGGCGTGGGCATGTATGGCTGCCAATGGAACTGGTTCTCTTGTATTTATTGATGATGTGACTGCTGACAAAAGCAGCCGGATGACTTCTGAAGTGTTTCGGGCAATATTATCTGCTCATATTCAGCCAAATGCTTCACAACTCATTGGACGCTTCACAGTGCAGATGGACAATGACCCAAAGCAGACTGCAAAAGCAACCAAAGTGTTTTTTTAAGGGAAAGAAGTGGAATGTTATGCAATGGCCAAGTCAATCACCTGACCTGAATCCGATTGAGCATGCATTTCACTTGCTGAAGACAAAACTGAAGGCAAAATGCCCCAAGAACAAGCAGGAACTGAAGACAGTTGCAGTAGAGGCCTGGCAGAGCATCACCAGGGATGAAACCCAGCGTCTGGTGATGTCTATGCGTTCCACACTTCAGGCTGTAATTGACTGCAAAGGATATGCAACCAAGTATTAAAAAGTGAAAGTTTGATTTATGATTATTATTCTGTCCCATTACTTTTGGTCCCTTAACAAGTGGGAGTCACATATGCAAACTGTTGTAATTCCTACACCGTTTACCTGATTTGGATGTAAATACCCTCAAATTAAAGCTGACAGTCTGCAGTTAAAGCACATCTTGTTCGTTTCATTTCAAATCCATTGTGGTGGTGTATAGAGCCAAAAATGTTAGAATTGTGTCGATGTCCCAATATTTATGGACCTGACTGTATGTCAAGACAGACTGCTCTAGATCTGAGATAGCTGGGCATTGTCTACAGCTGATATACAGTTGCTCCCTGTCCTACTGGGATTCACTATGATACTGATCAGAGGGGGTGGAGCTTCTGGCCGCAAAAATCATGGCAATGCACCACATGATAATAGTGGAAGGTCATTTCTACTTTCCTGTATGTAACCACATGGGGCAATTCAGTAAGAGAGCAACAAGAGTGACACCGCGGAGAGGAACTTACAGAGGTGGGTGCCCAGTCATGTCCGTACACAAAGCAGTACTTGCAGTAAAGTTCATCGAATTCAGGAAACTAGGGGAGGAAACAGAAGGAAGTTTATAAGTCGCTTTACAGACCCAATGTGTGAGCTCATCCCTATGCCAGGACCCCACTGTACCCCCCAGTGCGAGAAACCATTCCCCCCTCCTCTGTACCCCCCCTCCCCCCTCTGTACCCCCAGTGAAACCATTCCCCCCTCCTCTGTACCCCCAGTGCGAGAAACCATTCCCCCTTCTCTGTACCCCCAGTATGAGAAACCATTCCCCCCCCCTCCTCTGTACCCCCAGTGCGAGAAACCATTCCCCCCTCCTCTGTACCCCCAGTGCGAGAAACCATTCCCCCCTCCTCTGTACCCCCAGTGCAAGAAACCATTCCCCCCTCCTCTGTACCCCCAGTGCAAGAAACCATTCCCCCCTCCTCTGTACCCCCAGTGCAAGAAACCATTCCCCCCTCCTCTGTATTCCCGACTTCCCCCCAGTGTGACATCCCCTCCTCTGTACCCCCAGTATGAGAACACCTCCCCCCGCCTCAGTACTACAGTGTGACATTCCATCCCCTCCCCTCTGTACCCCCAGAGTGACATCCTTTCCCCCTACACTGTACATCCAAACTGAAAACCTTGCCACCCTTCTCTGTACCCACAGTGCATTGTGTCCCCTCCCCCCTCCTCTGAACCCCAGTGTTACACCCCCCCCTCCTCTGTATCCCCAGTGTGACACCCCCCTTCCTAAGTACCCCCAAAGTGACACTCCCCCCCCCCCCCTCCTCCTCTGTACCCCCAGTGTGAGAACCCTCCCCCTCATTGTACCCCCAGAGTGACATCCCTTCCCATTCCTCCTCTGTCCCCACAGAGTTACATCCTCACCCCCTTCTAAGTACCCCCAAAGTGACATCCTCTGTACCCTCAATGTGACATCTCCTCCTCTGTGCCCCCAGTGTTACATCTCCTCCCCCTCCTCTGTACCCCCAGTGTTACATCTCCTCCCTACTCCTCCGTACCCCAAAGTGACATACTCTCCCCCCCCTTCTCTATACCCCCAGTGTGACATCTCCTCCCCTCCTCTGCACCCTCAAAGTGGCATCCTCTCTCCCCTCCTCTGTACCCCCAGTGTAAGAACACCTCCCCCCTCCTCTGTACCCTCATATGACTTCCCCTCCCTCCTCCTCTGTACCCCGAGTGAGAGCACCCACCCCCCTCCTCTGTACCCCAATTGTAAAAACCCATCCCCCTTTGTACCCCAAAAGTGAAAACCCATCACTCCACCTTTGTACTCCCAATTGTCAGAACCCATCCCTCCTCCTCTGTACCCCCAGACTGAAATACCCG